AAATAGGATTTGCATTTAATATTATCCCCTTGGCTTTAATAATTACTGGATTTAATTCTCCCTTTGAGTACTGAAATAAAACACCTTCCTGCTCATAACACACACCTGTATCCAATCCTGGGCACCTGACTCTTAGAGAAAAATGAGATGTCTCTGGTGTCTGTGTGAATGGCTTCTAGGCAGAAGAGAAATGTTAAAAAAAATTACCCAGTACTTAGAAATAAGAGAGGTGATTACTGAATTACCTTTCAGTGTGGAGTGCTGGGAATTGCCTGATGGATTAAATAAGTCTATAAGGTGTGCACCTTTGATTGGCTTTCTATTTTGTAGAAGTTAACTTGTAAAAAACCAATAGCAATGTAAATGATTCTTGCCCATAGCAATGCAAATGAAATTTACCTGTGGGAGAAGGCAAAATGGTGCAACTATGATTTCTGAATACAGAGGCTGCACAGTTCCACAAAAAGCTATACTGCCACTGTGTCCGTGTCTGTGTGTGTGTGTGTGTGTGTGTGTGTGTGTGTGTGTGTGTGTAAAGTGATGGGGATGGGGAAAGAGAAATGAAGAAAAATGTCAGAAAGGAGAAATATATTGCCTTGTCACCATATATGTGGTCAAAGAAGATTTGATGATGGACTGGAAGGGACATCTAGGTTAGTGAAAGAGCGAGCTGGAATTGAGATATTTTGCTGGATCAAATATGTCAAAATTGGTAGATCCTTAGGTTTGCTTTTTAAAAATGTGACTACCTGACTATGGGCTCCAAATAAGAGTATATAAGTCTTGGTATAGATTTAACTTGGATATGCTAAGGACCTGCTACTCGATGTTATAGGAAGAAAAGTTTCTAGATGTACTGCCTATCGTATGATCAAGATGATAAAATTCCACCTCACATTTAACTATGTGATATTCTCAAAAAAGGCATTCATGGTAGGTAGATAACCCATGTTAAATTTCCAGCCCTCATGCTGGAACAAGTAGAGGCTCAGGCTCAGCGCAGGCTAGTGGTTTAGGAGCTGGGTTAGGGAGGGAAACTGGGGAGACTGGCCCAGGATGCTAGAATCTGAGCTCCAGGGAGGTGTGGCTCCGCAAGCTAGGGAAGACTGATGACTTGTTAACAGTTTGAATTGCTCTAGTGTTCTTCCCACCACCCCATCCATACTCCCTGTGGGCCAGTGCCTGTGTCAGATGCTAGAGATCCAAAAATTATTAGTAAGACACACATCTGCCCTGTAAGACTTTCCCACCTCTGGCATCATCAACTGAGTGATCTTTTAAATCTTAAATATTATGTAATGAAATCAGAATTTTTGACAAGCAGCCTTTTGGGAAAGTCCATTGGAAGATATGTATTGAGGTTTGAGGAGGGCTAAAAAATAGTGCCCATATTCCCCACTCAAATTTGAAAGCAACTGAGAGATAGATGTAGCAGGTAGGTTGATGGCAATCATAACACAGTTTGAGCTGTTTGGACAGCATGGCTTAAGTTCAGGGGATAAAATGACTTAGGGTGTTTTGCTGCCTCATCTCCAAATGTGGGATTGCCCACCTAATATGGACCATTTGAGTCTGTTAAATGCACACATTTACCAAGGATTGCTGTTCTCTCTAAATTGGGGCAAGAAAAGGAAGAAAGGAATCAGCTCCCTAGTGCTTACAATTTTTTAACAGATTAGTCTTACCTAGTCAAGAAAGTTGGACTAATCACTATTATCTCCAATCAGGCCTTGCACCCTCAGTAGAGAAAAGGAAGTAATGTGTAGGGTGGGAAGCCATGGGTGTTACTATAGAGAAGATTCTCTCTCCACTAGGAAATAAGAGGCATGGGGAAATACGTATTCTTTCCTAATTTTCCCTTACCTTTTGAGCTTAATCATTAAGTTTATGGTCAATCTCACCCCCTGGAGAGGAGACTGGCAGCTGTCAGGGAAGTCCTGCTCCCACCTTTATGGGATTGCTTCAGTGCTGTGCCTTTTTAGCTTCTCCTAGGAGTGTTAGTAAATAGTGCTAATTTTGCATCCAGGGGCCTTAAAATATATATTAATCATTATATTAACTCTAAGAACATGATGTGTCAAGATAAAAATTTCATTTGGCTGCTAGGTCCTTTTAGATGGGTTGCTATTTTTTGTAGTTGGCTCAGGGAAGCTCAGGTCTGTTTATTGCAGTACCTTAGGAACCATAATCCTGTAAGTGGTGGAAGGTAAAAGTCTTGCCCAGTGTGGGCTGCTATTCTAGAAATGTTAAAAACTTTAACATTTAGACAGACTTTAACATTTAGAAAAACTTTAGACAGATTAAATTTCAGAGTTTATTTGAACAAAGAACAATTCATAAATCAGGCAGCCCTCAGAAACAGAAGAGGTTCAGAGAACTCCATTCAGCAGTGTGAGGGGGAAGCTTTCACATGTTGAACACAGAGGCAAAGTAGAGAAATGATCCGATTCACTATAGCTAGGCATCTGCTCTATTTAGCCACAGTGTGATGAGTTTGCTGCCTATGATTGGCTGAAACTTGACTGCTCATGATTGGCTGTTATACTCCCAAGTTTCAGTTTGCCTATGTACTAAGTTAGGTTGCAATGAGCTACATAGAAACTCAAAGTATGGAGACATCCTCAGGCCAATGGCCTCCTGCTTATTTACTTTAACAGAAGCAAGCAGACCACAGTCCCCTGATGAGGCATATGAAAGAAAATTCATGGATTTCTTACTGCTTAGTTTTCTCAGAGGCTTAATGGCTCCTTCTTGACCTTATGGGGACCAATGAGAACAGGAGCACTTACGCAGAACCAAAGTCCATCCTTTCCCTGGGGTAATCTACAGATCCCAAGCTAGTCCCAGGATACAGCACGGTCTCCATCATTGTCCTGGGACTCAGACTGGCCTCCAAGGCCATACTCAGAACTCAGCAACAGAAAAGACACCAAGTCTGGCTTCTGGGGTTGAAGGCCCCAGAAGCTGTTTGGTTTAGGAGATGATAGATTAAAGCTGCTGAGCTGACGTTGCTATCTTCTCAGAATCCATTGCTCCCAGCTCTCCAGCTGCTTTAATGGAGAATCCTCAGCCAAATGGAATTTTTAAGTCAATTTAGTGCCATAAGCGCCAACAGAAACTTCCAAAAATAATGAATCCAAAAATCTTCAGTTGTAATTTAAACCTACCTTGGGCTAAAGTCTGAATACCAGTTAGGTTTGGCATTTAATTTAGAAAATATCGGCGTGAGGGACTCCTGGGAACATCTTTCAAGAAGTTACACTTACATTAACTGCTGGCCTAAGGGGAAAGGGTGGGAGAAGGGAGGGAATTTTTATTGAATGCTACAGGACTCAAAGTACTACGAGTTATTTTATTTAATCCCGAAAACAATAATATTGCAATAAGCTATGGTCCCCATTTTAAAGTGGGAATGCAATAAACTGAGGCTTAGATAGTTGACGTTATCTTCCCAAGTTCACTACTATCCGCCCTGTTCCAAAGCCCACACTTGTTTCTCTTATACTGAATGGAAACTACCATTATTACTTGTACTATTATTAGGTATATTTTCTAATTCTTGTTATTCTTATTGTTAGTGCTTAAAAAGAGTTTGTGTTTTATCTTCTGACCCAGCAGGGTAGGTAGGGAAACTGTTTTGTTTTACAGTAAGTCTGGATGGAGGGAAAACAGGGGGAGAATGGATGATGGCAACCAGCAAACAAAGGCGGAAAAAAGAAAAAGATGACTCCATGGACTTGAGCTGCTACAGCTTTTCCTGCCCTAGAAGAAAGGAAATCTTGTATGCTTCTCCCCTAACTCCTACACACCTGAACCAACCACCTTACCTTGAAGGTTTTTTCTCTTTCTCTTCTCTTATTCACTCAGTCTCCAGTTACATCTCTCTTCCCCATCTCCATTTTCTCTCCTTGTCATTCTATTTGAGGGTCCAAACCTGCCTCTAGTTGTGAAGAGCTGCACATGGGTAGCACTGATGATGCATAATAAAGAAAGCCTCAAGTCTGAAGTAGAAACAGACAACCTAAACCAGTTGACCTCCTTACCCTTAAAAGTTTCAAAAAGACCCGCCCAAAGCATTCCCTTAAATGCTTTTAATTTAACCTGCTTCTCCTAAAGTACTAACAGTCAAGATTGAAAAATTCTCTTCTTACTCAGTTTTAATTCTTAGAATTATAAAATTATTGCTTTTAACTATTTCATATAAACTATGAAATAAACGAATAAGCTTCTGTGAGTTAATCTTCAAATTTATCACTTCCAAGATTATTTTTATATGAAATACATTCTGAATTCCAAACAAATGGATTACCAATGAGCTTTTGAAATGTAACTTGTTTCTAAGTTAAACTCTGCCATTTTTGTTTTGTTTTGTTTTGTTTTTGTGTCAGGGTCTCACTCTGTCACCCAGGCTGGAGTGCTGTGGTGCAATCGTAGTTCACTGCAGTCTTGAACTACTGGGCTCAAGCAATCCTCCCACCTCAGCCTCCTGAGTAGCTAGGACTAAAGGCATGCTCCACCACACCTAACTAATTTTTAAATTTTTTGTGACGAATGAAATGTTTCCCAGGCTGGTCTTGAGCTCCTGGCTTCAAGGGATCCTCCAGCCTTGGTCTCCCAAAGTGCTGGGATTATAGGCATGAGCCACCATGCCCCATCAAAGTCTGCCTTTATACTGTTAGAGTTAATGAGCAGTTAATGAGAAATGAACAGAAAAATATTAAAAATAGTAATGTAATAATATCCTTTAAAATGTTTAATATTTTATAGGATTTGCTACCAAAATTATTTACCTTATTGAAGATAGGTTATTCTTTTAGATTATTTAATAATTCAGAAAAACATTAGTTATACTTGGAAAAAGCATCATATAATAATGATGTTCCAACATCAATTAATAGAAAAAGCTATTTGAAATATTACAAAGCCTTTTTAATTGCATAAATTGCTAATTCCATGATTATCTGAATTGCCAATATATGATTAATTTCACATTCACTAAATTAATGTTACATTTGTCTTATTTGATATTCAGTTAAATAAAAAGGTTATTGATGTTATTTGACTTCCAACAGCAAATTTCCAGAGGCAGTCTATGACATTCTTGGTCCCAAATCAAACTTTACTGTAGAAATGCTGATGACTGATCAACAAATTGAGATAATAGAAAGTCATGAACTTGTTCCTCTTGTTGACAATTATTTCCTAATTTTGTCCTATTATTTACCAAAAATATTCATTGTTCTTGAATAGATCACTGCTGATTTGTAACTCCAATTTCTATGCCTTGCTTTCTGATGCCATCCATTAGGACATTACTAATTGGATAATAATTTCTTCTATGATCCTGGAACTTGGTTATTTGCTTCTTGTTACCCAAACATTGCTGGGTAAGTGATGATTTGTGGGGCATTTTTCACCTGACAAGTTTAACAAACCATCCAATGGTGTTACATTACTTAGTTCACGCATATTTTTAAAATGCTTTGGGTAATATTTGACAGGTGAGTCACTGGATTTGTATGTGTTCCTTGGTTTTACTGTAGAAAACATTTTTTCAAATTTTCCAGTTTTAGTGTTCATTTCTTGAATAGCAGTTTTATCAAGGCAAAATTTTTTGGTTAGGCTGGGAAAATTAGAGAATGTATTCCCAGATCTGTTTTCTAATGATTGCTTATTGGTTTTCTTCCTTAGTGTATCATCCACAATTCTGTGGTCCACTTCAAAATGTAAGGTTTGTATTCCCTTTCTCTTTGCTGTAGGCAGAGTTTTTCTGGGTTTGGAAGGAGTAACAGATTGATCACCAAGTAAAGATTTGAGGAGTTTACAATTTCTTTCTAGAACAAAATTTGTTCTTTCATGTGGGTTAATGTTTTCATTTGCCAAAGGATGGGAAGAAAACCTATTTCTTGTCAAAAGTAACCTCTGTACATATTCTGTGTCATGAAAAATTATGGGATTTGTGTTACTTTGTTCCTGTGGATTAAAGAAAAAAGTACTTAGTCATAAGAATATTGAGGCAAGAAAGCTACTTATATTTTTAAACATGAAAATAAAATTATAAATATTTTTTAAATGTCTACATAGAAGTATTTAATCTGAATAATAGTGATATTCAAATACACAAAAATGATGGACTTGTATGTGACATACTTCCTTCTTAATATTCTATAGCGTGGTAGGGATAAATCTGAACTTTTGGCCTTCTTAAATCCTTTTTTAAATAAAGTAGAATATGAAAGCATAAATATTTCTTAAATGTTCAAACATTTCTTAAATGTTTGAGGTATTGTCATTGGGAAATAAGGTGGTTGGTAGGATGGAACACTATTCTGGCATATCTTAAGTTTCCATGTTCTAAAAATTAAAAAGCCTACCAAAAAATGGATTGAGTCAAAGATGATAAGAGAGTGATTACGAGCCAAAATTACAAAGTCTGGATAGTCTAATAAGTGGTTCAAAAAATTTTATATGATCTACAGATGCTATACTTATTATTGTACCCCAACCCTTAATGCAACACCTGCCACATAAAAGTGCTCAAAATATATTTGGAATAAAATAGTCAAAGTAATAGATTGATTGAAAAATGCTCCATTTTTTAAATCACAGTAATTGCAAAATCTGTCTGTATGAGCTACTCTTTAAACTTTTTTCCATATTTCCATTATTAGGGCAAAATGATTAACTAAAAAGAAACTAGTCAAATATGCATATTATTAGTATTTAGTTTGCAAATATTAAGTCAATAATTATTACTTTTCATTAAAAATATAATTAGTGAAATAAGACATTGGGTCATTGTACATTAGTGTACTTAGTGTGAAAGGTACATTGATAACCATGATTACTGAAAAGATGACAACTGATCTAGTTTTGCCATCCACTAGTGATGCCAATATTACCTATTTAGCCATAGTAATGGAAGTTTGTCATATTTTTTGGTCTGTCCAACATCTTAAGGAATTTTCTCCCTTAAAAGTCTATATACTCTTAAGTAGAGGCAGAAACAATCTTTGTTGGCCTCTCTAATTAAGGTATAGGTGTCTGATCTAGGCTCTGTCAATCAGATACACCTATGAAACTCTTCAGAAAAAGCGAGCACTGTGAAAAATCACTGTGAAAACTATTCTAGTGGGAGTGGTGGGAGCTATGTCTAGCTTTGAAGGGCAGCAGTGGTAAAAGTCTTACAGAGAGTATTCCCTGCCCAGCATCAGAGTTGTAAACTGTTATGTATGACAATAGCCTGGGCCCCAGTGGAGCAATCTGCAGCGTTACTGGGTGATTACTAACTATATAGCTTTCAAGCCAGACTATCTCTCTAGCTTTCCTAGACCCTGTGAACGACCAAATAGCCTTTAATAAATGTGCTTTCCGGTTGAAATAGCTAAAATAGATTATTAGAAAAATGAACACATGGTCCCATCATTTAAAAAATACCTGTTCTATTTCATATCCCTTTAATAATCAAGGAAATTTGATAAACCCTTCTTCATAAAGAAAAACACAACATTTTCAGCTGGTGCAAAGGAATCATCAGTTTGGGGGGAATGGTTCTAAAAAAAGAGCATTAAGAACTTAAGGGGTGTTCTCATGTTGGAGTGTGAAACCAAGAGGTAAGAAGGATTTATCAAAGATTCTTGTCACTAGAATATGGGTGATTCCCATAAGTAGTAGAACTATGCATAGTTACTGAACAATAGTAGAAAGTCTTATTACCATCTGAGAAGTTACTGTCTTTGCTGGACTAACGTTGATAATCTTGGCATTTGGATTTGTCAGCTCATCCTCAAAGCACAAGGGGAGCAAGCTTTTGTTTCTTACTGAATGATACTCACTTAATGGATAATTTCTGATAGATTCATTTTTTTTCATGTTAAAATCATTCATCAATGAAGATTTTCCTCTGAAAATAAACACAAGTTCAGGGAGATGTTTATAGGGCTGATTTCAGCTTGTTAGTTCTGTCTGCCTCCCCTTACCCCTAGAAGTCACTGCCAACATCTGCACCAACCTCTCTCCCACAGACTTTCAGACTGACAAGAGCATCCCTTCTTGCCTTTCCTGGAGAAAACAGCAAAAGCACAGGTGGAAGCAAAATAGTCATATGTGTGCATCTTTGCATTTTGGGGCCAAGGAGTAATATGATGTAGGTTGAGGAGAAAACCAAAGATAGAGGGGTATTTGCTAGATCCTTTGTTGAAATTCTGGAAGACGCTTCGCAGGGCAGCTTTATGCCAACATAGGGTGGCCCCAGCTTTGTGAAGAAGATAGAATAGTGTGGTCAGGCAGAGAGAGAATATAGATTTTATTCCAGGTCTCCCTCGACACTGAGTTTATTTAGGCTTGCCACGGGGCTTGCTATTGCGAGGCTGTGATAACCTGTAGCAAAGGTTTGGCATGGCTGAGGTCTGGACAGCTTCATCTAAGGACAGATGAAGGACATGCCAGGGATTCAGAGGATTCTACCCACAAATGACAATTGGGAATGGACCCTATCCAAGTTCACAGAGAAGAGACCGTGAGTTCATGTACCACAGATGTAAATAGCCACAGAACATCTAAAAATAGGACCTGTGACCACCAATCCTGGTAGCAGTATAGATACTGTCTTGGAAAGAAACAGAAGAACTGATTTAAGCCTTAAGAGGCTGTTCATTATTGCTCCAAACAAAGTTTAAAACACACTGGACTAATGATTTTTTTTTCTCATTACACAGAGGATGAAGGGTCCATGAGAAAAATTATAACTTTATCCAAAAAAAAGAAGATACTTTTTTTCACATTCATGTAATAGTGTAATTAAATTTGTGTATCTACTACAAAAACATAATTGTATTCTCTCCATTTTTTCATGTCTTTCTCTCCATTTGACTCAGCTCAAGGTCTGGATGTGATGCCTAGTAGCTGAGCAGTCTTGGACTATTCATTGGATTGCACTACGGACTAAATGTTAATATTAAGGCAGAATCCAGGACCAGCGCAAGCGCAAGCGCTCCCCAGCGCCTGGTAGAGCAGCTCAAGATGGAGGCCCCCATGGAGCGGATCAAGGACTCCTTTTTTGCAGGAGCCTCTCAGACGTTGCTGGGTGAACGTGGGCGCACACCAAGGAATGTCAGGTCTCTGGGGCAGCTGCAGAGCTTCAGCAGTGCTGAGTGCCTGTAAGGAGGCCTGCTGGTTGGCGGTCCCGCTGGAAGCAACCCCTTAGGCTTTACTCTGAGGAATTTAGGGAAGACGGTCTCTGAGGAATGCCTTCAAGTACAAAGTGAAGAATGACTGCCTCCAAGTCTCAAGAAAGCACTTTTCCCTAGCCAAATAGATATTTCAGTCCTTTCCTGTGGCCTGGATCTATAGCCAAAATTCTACAGGAATTCATGAGTTTCTACTAAAATAAAGCAACTGAGTGAAGAAATACAATTCTAAATAATAATGGCCTGTTTTTTTGGTAAAGTGCTTCATACATAGGACAAAACAAAAACGAAAAACACCCTTACCACCAAATATACCAAAATGCACATCTTTCGTAAGTGAATTACTGGTATTTCTATGCCTGGAATAACATGTATGTTTTATTTATTTAATGTTCACGTTTTAGGAAGGAAACATTTTTTTTGTTAAAAAAAATTAAATATTTATAATTATTTTTTCTGACAAAGATTTTTATACCATAACTAAAGTTGTTCTTTTCTCACAAGTTTATAATTCCTAAATGAAGACAAGAAAGTAAAAATTGGGGGAGAAGAACAGGCTTTATTAATCAAATGACATCTTGATTTTTAAAATTAGAAGATTGTTTTATTTTTAACACTACACATGAGAGCTGTTTCTTAGCAAACCCGTTTGGAAAGGTTAATGTTCTGTTGTGTTTTAGGTTGCCCCATCGTGTACATGATGCAGAATCAGTCTTTGTATTCTTATGTTCCTCTACTTTGTAGTTGTATTTTAAAAAAATACTGTATTATTTCATATGTTTAAAAACATTTAAAATGTGACCTATATAACCTTGTAAATGGTTAAAAACAACATAATGTGAAAATAATTACAACCTCAAAGAATTCATCATGTCACAAGTATTTTACTTTAATGATGTGCCTTTGATTTAACTGGAACACTTTTGGAAGGATATATTATTTGTGTTTGTAATAATCTTTGAAGAGCTTGGAAATAAAATTATGACTTCATTCATCGAAAAAAAAAATAAGGCAGAATAAATTCATTCTGATCTATTATAAAACAAAAGGCAGAAAGCATGCCACTAGAAATATTGAACAGAATAAAATGTTAAAAATTTTAAAATAAATTACCTTTCATTTATATGATCTTCTAAATGGCCAATAGAATCCAATGATTTCCTAGTCCTTTTTTCAATTTGAGCTGAAATTATAAAAGATTTTCATAAAAGACATGCATTATGGCATTTAGAAAATATCTTTTGGAAAATATTTTGTAATTTAAAATATCATGTGGAAAGCACCTAGTATAGTGCCTGATCTATAGTGGCTACTCAGTAAACACTTTTTGAGTGAACAAAATAGAATCGGAAAAGAATGAGATCAAGCTTCTAATGTTTGGCTAAGACAGATCAAATATAAAAGTGGTCTTGGAGATTTTTTTGTGGAAGAAAAGTATTCATAACTTTCCAAATCCCTCTAATACATGAAGTCATTATTAACCAGTAGGAAGCCTCAAATAGTTAAACACTGTTACTATAAACGGAGGTCAGTTGGTGGATATCAAACAAACCTTGCCACATGGCATGAAGGAAGTATCCAAAGTTGAACTCTTCCAAATATGCCTGGTGGCCACTCCAGAATTTTTCAGCTTTCCTAAATATTCTCATATACACATGCTATTAGCAACAATTTCAGCTTTTTCCTGTCCTCAAGTAATTTATATTCAAGTGCCATGCTTCCTAGCCTTTTTCACATCATGGCAAACATCCAAATAATATTATCCGTACAGTCACTGGCATAAATTCTTGAGTCAAACCACACCAGGGCTGGATGACTGAATCTACAATATTCCCAATATGTCCCTGGAAGAGGAGCCCATTCACAATTCTAAAATCTGGTCTGACTGAGCGTCATGGGATCTGAGTAGTGGCAACTGAAAAACTTCTGGAAAGGAAAAGTAAGGAATAGTGAATAAGTGATAAGTGAAAGAGAAAGAAAGAGAACCTTCTAAAATTCTAGAACACATGAAAAATATAAAGCTAAGAAAGACAGTCTTAGGCCAGGCATGGTGGTTCACACGTACAATCCCAGCTCTTTGGGAGGCCAATGTAGGAGATGGTTTGAGGCCAGGAGTTTGAGGCTGCAGTGAGCTATGATCATGCCACAGAACTCAGGCCTAGGTGACAAAGAAAGACCTTGTCTCTAAAAAAAGAAAAAAAACAAGGAAAAAAGCTGACAAAATCAACAAGAAGAATGTAAGTTCAATAATAAAATTGAATAGAAAAATCTAAAAGTAACTATAAAAATCCTTACCATAACTCAGCTCTAAGATGTATATTAGCATGTGTCATAGTTTAATTGACAATGTTAATTAATGACATCTTAGATTTCATGAAATATGGTATGTTTAAGAATTTCAAAGAATTTCAAATGAAAAATATTCACATTAGAGAACAAGATATTATGAAATAAAAACAGGCTGATGTAAACATAAAAACAAATCAATATTTTTAAAAAATGGAAAGCTTGGAACTAAGAAATATAATTTAGATTACATAGCCAAAGGTAGTAGAATCAATGAATTGAAAGAAAACGTCAAGGAATTCACTAAGAATGTGCAGAGAGATAAATAAAAAATATGAAGTAACAATTAAACATTATGAAAGATAGACTAAAAAAGCATTCAACATTTTTCTAGTAGTTCTGGAAGAAGAAAATAGAGGAAATGGTGAAGAATCTACAGTTGAAGAGAAAATAGCTAAAAGTTCTGACAGAAGTGTATTTCAAGATTCAGGATGACAGACAGAATACACCTACACCCAGACACTTTGTAGTAAAAGTACAGATGGCCCAGGAGTAGTGGCTCACACCTGTAATCCTAGCATTCGGGGAGGCTAAGGCGGGAGGACTGTTTGAGGTCAGGAGCTCGAGACCAGCCTGAGCAAGAAAGAGACCCCGTCTCCATAAAAAATAGAAAAATTAGTGTGCACCTGTAGTCCCTGCTACTTGGGAGGCTAAGGCAGAAGAACTGTTTGAGCCCAGGAGTCTGAGTTATGATGACACCACTGCACTCTAGCCAGGGGGACAGAGCAAGACTCTGTCTCAAAAAAAAAAAAAAAAAAAGAAAAGAGAAGAAAAGAAAAGAAAAGACAAAACAAAACCCTTAAAACAGAAAACAGATCATAAAACATAAAGAGAAAAATTCTGAAACTACCAGTTTTTCTACAAAGGATTGGCAATTAGACCAAGAACAAAATTCTAATCTATAATTGATTCCAGAAGATAATAAAGTTGTACTTTTAAAGTGCTGAAAGAAAATAATTTATAACCTAAAAATTTACATCAACTAAACTATCATTCAAGAGTAATAGCAAAATAAAGGCAATTCAGAAGTTAACAACTAACGAATCAACCCTGTAAGAATTACTGAAGGCTATCCTTCAGGAAAAATGTAAGTGAACACTGATGAGTGCATGCTTTGATAAATTATATTTTTAATTAGCATTGACTTTAGAAACTAATCTTATTTTGTATTTGAAGTGAAATATTATTAATATTCACTGCACTTGTATAGCTCTTTCTCATTTTAATCTATTATATTTTTTGTGTTTTACACTTCTATAGTGTTAGTCTTTATTTTTCTTTTAAGCTTTGCTTCATTGAAGCATAAATTACATATGATAAAACACACACATTTTAAATGTACAGTTGGATAAATTTTGACAAATATATACACTAATGTAAGTAAAATCGAGATATAGAGTATTTTCATTATTCTAACATAGGTTTTGAATACACCTTATTAGTTCATTCCATTTGTTCTGTTATCTCCTTCAAACACACTGGTTATCTCAGTGTTGGATAATCTGTTTTCTTCTCTCAATATACTATCTTGTCTTAATCTGGTCCCATTTTTGTCCTCTTACACTGCATTCTGTGTGATTTTCCTAAACCTGCGCTCCAGATCTTTAATTTGGTTTATCCAAGTGTTTACTCTTTGCTGCTTTTAATTATCACTTTCAGTTCTGTGTTAGCATTACCTGTTTCTTCAAAAATATTTTTGAGCTCCAGTAGCATCATTCTATCTTTGAAGATTATCTTTTACATTTTCAGATCTTATTTCATGGAATTCTTACTTTTTAAAATTTTTTCGGCATATAGAACAATTATTGTCTAAATTTTCTCCTGTTTCCTGGGGTACAAATCTTACCAAAATGGGACCATTAGCTAACTTTTAAATTATTTCCTTTCTTTGCTACAGAATTTTTGCATAGGTCTCATGTTTTGTTCTTGATTTTCTTTCTGCTCAACTTTGAATCAGGTCACTTAAATCTAGGCTTTTATTTGTCCAAAAATAATAGGAGTAAATTTTCTTTGGATACTTCCCCTGTTTACCTGGGCACTATTAAATTCTCCCATTAGAGATTAATAGGTAAACCCTGATGTTGTTCCCTTATGTTGCAAGTTAGGCATTCAGCTGCCTAAGCAGGCTGTAAGGAAGCTGGAGCTCTGAAAAATCATGGACAAATTTGTTTCTGTGCACTGTGTGTTCTGTGAAACCTTTTCATGACTCTAAGGTGATGGGGGAGGGCAAGGAGGCTTGGGGTACTCTGTCAATTTATGTGTGAGGTGTCACTTGGGTTTCAATTTTGTTGTTGTTGTTCCTCTTTATTGAGGTAAGCAAGTCAGCTTGGAGAGGAATTTAACCAAAGAAAGGCCTCATGGCTCACATGCTGTCTGATGAGGTCATGTTTTTTCTTTCCACCATTATCTTCATAGCTATTATTCACACTTCCAACATTTCCTAGGAAATTGTATTCAGTCTCTTCTGTTGTCAGCCCTCCCTTCAAGACTTTTCTCCTCTAAGTTAGGAGGTTTTTTACCCTAAATCTGAGTACATCTAAAGCAATACAAGGAAGACAGAAAAAGAAATGACTAGTTATGGCCATTACATTTTTCTCAAAATACTGCTAACACAGATGTGGAAAGCTGTTGACTTGCAATGAGGAAAGGCATCCCAAGGAGAGGATTTCCCATCTTTCTGTGACCCATCACTGATAACAAACTCCTTTTCGTTACGTTGAATGTGTGTGTGTGTACATGTGTGTGTGCAGTGGGGTGGGGGATTAATAAGGGTTTTTCAGAATATATTCTAATTCTGTTGGCTCTTTCGGTGTTGTTCCTTTCTCCCAGGAAATGGAACTGTGCATTGATTTCTGGAATATTCTTTCAAACTGCTTCATATTGTAATACATGGCAGATTTTCTTTGAGTCTGGGATAAAATGTCCTACTTTCAATTTAATAATTTTTTCTTCTTTTCTTATTCATTTTAACCAGGATAAACTTGTATTTATGTTGGCAACTTCCCCAGAAATCTGAATTTGGGACTTGGTTAAAAGAAGTATCAAATGCTTCTGTAGAGAGACTTAAGAAATTTTTTAGAGAGCGATCGCTTTCCTGAAAGAATAGAACATCCTGCCACTGCTCTCAGGGAACACTTCAGAGAAGATGTGACATCTGAGTGGAACCTTAAAGGACAGTGTGGTGAACAGAGGGCTGCCTCCTTCACAGCCCCATTTCTCCCCTTCTTTGCTAACAGAAACCTGATCTTCCCTTCCTCCAAGCAACATGTCCTTCAAAGTCACAATATGTTACAGCAAGGCTAGGAGGACAAGCTACATGCTAAGGCTGTTGAGGAAAGATGGAGGAACTGAATATTTGATGACATCATTAAGCCCCGGAATTAATCAACTGTGCAACTACCTTACAGATGGACTTCTTGTTATTTGAGGAAATAAGTATCTTTATTGTTTAAGCTAGAGGCTGTTGGATTTTCTTTTAATTTCTGCTAAAAGTCTTCTAACTATTAAAGATGAACAGGAATCTATCAGGTGGATAAGCATGTTTTGAGCATAGACAACAGAATAAATCAACTCACACAGTAGGTGAAGCAGCCTGTTAAATATGACTAGAATCAGTGTGGTATGGAAAGTTGAAAGAGAAAGAATAGAAGGCCGGAAAGACCTTATATGTCATACTAAGCAATCACTGATGTAATGGTCCCCAGATGTTATTAAATCATGAAATATTATGAAATATCAGTATGATCGAAGACTGATAATCCTTGGTTGAAGATTTTTTAATGCTTATATCCTAAATTTAGATGTAGTTCACTTTCTGTTATTTCAATATGAATATGTAATTTGTATACCTGTTAATAAAGTAGAGTCTCTTTCCTTTTCATAAGCATTAGACTGAATGTTAAATATAGGAGAAAAGACTGTAGAACTCTGCAATTTTCCACATGCTTGTTTCTGCTGTGAATATAGAATACTCAAGGGCTCTGTATATTCCACCTAAACATCAGAAAAGTATAAAAGTATCTTAGAAATTGCTTTCTATGTGTATATTAAATAAATAATTTATACTTCATTATTCATATTTGGAATATCTAATTATGATAATAGCTGTCTGATTCCTTAAATACTTTCAAATATAAAGTTTTATTTAATCCCCCCAAAAACTCCTCTGAAGTGGGCATTATCATTACCACTTTGTGGATAAGGAAACAAACCTATAGAAGTTAAAAGATTTGCCTTTGCTCACACTTTTTACTAATTTTTATTTCCTTTGTTTCTATTCATATAAGATTTATTTCTCCAGGCCGGACGCGGTGGCTCATGCCTGTAATCCTAGCACTCTGGAGGCCGAGGTGGGAGGATCACTCAAGGTCAGGAGTTCGAGACCAGCCTGAGCAAAAGCGAGACCCCATCTCTACTAAAAATAGAAAGAAATTAATTGGACATCTAAAAGTATATAGAAAAAATTAGCGGGGCATGGTGGCGCATGCCTGTAGTCCCGGCTACTCGGGAGGCTGAGGCAGAAGGATTGCTTGAGCCCAGGAATTTGGGGTTGCTGTGAGCTAGGCTGACGCCATGGCACGCTAGCCAGGGCAACAGAGTGAGACTCTGTCTCAAAAAAAAAAAAAAAAAAAACCAAAAAAACACAACAACAACAACAACAACAAAAAACAACAAAAAAGATTTATTTCTCCAAATTCAGGGAAAGTCTAAATTTGAATACTGCTGGGAAAAAAAAGCCTTCTCTGTTTTAACAGAAGCTTTACTCTCTCTAACATTAAATAAATACAGCAGCATAATTCTGAGTAAAAGGGAAAAAACTGGAAAAAAAATAATCCAGCTTTTCGTAGGTTAGCGTCTCAATTGTGTCCATATATTTTTATTAAAATACACATATCTAGATATCTAAAACATCTGCATGTAAACATAAACTGCATAATTTGTTACTCCTCATCAACAAGCCCAATAAATAAATAATTGTTTATGATCTATAATTTTTCTTCACACTAGGCACAGAATATCCATAGTTCTGGATAATATGAAATAAAACTAAGGTGTATGAAAAAAATCTAGGCTATAATGAGCTCATATTTTTATTAGGCAGATATGATGAGTATATACAAATAATAGTAAGTAATGTAATAGGGCAGTATTACTAAGAACCAAGTCAATCAATACAATGTATAAATGATGAAGGGTTTAGAAGACAGGGATATCAATAAAGGCTGGAATAGACAGGAAAGATTTCACAGAGGAGGAAGAACTTAATGCTAAGATTTAAAGATGAGGACATTTCAGAAGAGGTCAATAAAACAAACTTAGAGTTTCATAAGACAGTCAGAAAAACAGTGAGTTTAGATCAAGGAGGCATCCATTATTTATTGCACATAAAAAATAAGTTCAAATAGGTAAGAAAGGCAGTTGTGAGAGGATGTCTTGAAAGACAAACAGAACAGCTTTATCATAAAGAAACATTGCTAACATTGTCATGAGAAGTAGAAAATTTGAGCATACCAATAATTCCTAAAAGAAATGTGAAGTTTCAAATAACTACCTTTAAAAGATAGTTTAAAAGAGTAAACAGGCTCAAATAGATTTATAGATAAGTTATTTTAAGCTTTCATGCAACAAATAATTCTCATGCAATATAATATCAATTACATTTTAAAAGTCAACAACACACACTTTCCAGTTCTTTTAAAAAACTGGCACACGTTGTCTAAACACCAAAGTCTGAAAATATAACACACCACAAGAAGGCTACAAACTAAATTCATGAAGGACTACAGTAGTATTTTTCACAAATCTAAAATAAAATGCTATAAAATAAAACGCTATAGAACTAATAGAATAACTAATAGAAGAGTTCACAATGGCCAAATAAAGCTATCAAGAGGTTAAAGTTCCTAATAGATATATTATTATAATTCATTACCCATTAAGCCAAAAAGGACAAAAACAATGTACTTATTTTAATAGCTACAATACTGAAAATACCATTGATAAATTCAGCCACTATTATTGATAAGAACTGTAATAAAACTACACAGAGATAATACTTTCTTAATATGATAAAGAATATCTTAATACTATTTTAAAAATCATATCTATGTACAACTAACAGCCAACATCATAGTTAATGCTAATATATTGTATATGATATGACAAGAGTAACACTTATCACCACTATTATTTATAAATTTTTAGGGAGTATCAAGTAATGCAATGGGAAAAGATGGTGGAAGTATTAAAATCTCCAGGGAATTCTGGTTCAGCATAGCTGAGTAATAATCCCTTATCAGACCTACCCTCCCTCAGATAAAAACCACAAACTCTAGACAAAATGCTCTAGGTAAAATACACACACACACACACACACACACACACACACACACACACTAATCTGAAGGTCCCAGAGAGTGAACAAAAGCAGGTGACAAAGAAAAAGCGTTGAAATTTGGAATAGTTGACTTGCATGGGGTGAAGTTGCTATTTTTACGACTTTTAGCTTGAAAGCAGGTTGAAGTTGGCACCACATGGGGCATCTAAAACTCTGATAGAAAACCCATGTTATTTTGGGCCAGAAGCACCAGAGGATAAAGTTCAGGGCAAACAAAGATGCTGGAAAGTGAGAAAGGAATACTAAAAAGAAGAGAGTCAAAGATGTTAGCCCATTTTCTATGTATGAGAAAACCTGTTGCATGGGAGACTTCCCATTCATGTCTCTAGCTAACCCCTGAACCACCTGTGTCGAGGACAAACTGCAAGCAGCCAACTAAGGATCAAACAACTGAACTCAAATTTGAGCTGCTGCTGTAGTTCGAGCCCAATCAACTTAATTGATTCCTAGAACAAAAACATCAATGCTTTTTGTAGGACTACAACACAGTTTAGAGTCTCCACAATATAACAGTAGTAATTTCCAGAATAAATCCAACCTGACACAGAAAGAGCCAGGAAAGTGAAACCTAGCTTTAACCAAAAAGAAATTCAAACAAGATCATTCCTGAAATGACCCAGATGTTGCAATTAAGAGATTTGATAGCAGCTATTACAACTATGCTTGATGAAAGAGCAAAATATGTTCAAAGTGAAGGAAAAGTGCAGGAAATCTTATTAGAGAAACAAAACTATTTTTAAACATGGAAATCGTAGAACTAAAATATATAATATCTGAAATGTAAGAATTCATTAGTTGAGCTTAAAACAAAATGGACATTTCTGAGGAAAGAGTCAGGAAACTTAAAAATATTAGATTAATAAAAATTATTTAATATAAAAAATAGAGATTCAGGAACCTGTGGGACAATAATGAAAGGTCTGCATATGTGTAATAAGAGTCTCAGAAGGAGAGAAGTAAATGGGGAAAAAATATTTGAAGAAATAATGGTGAGACATTTCTTTAATTTAGTGAAAGACATAAGTTTACAAATTTCAGAAGCTCAGTCAATTCTAAGCAGGATAAATATAAAGAAAACCACGCCTACACACAGAGTCAAACCGCTGCAAATCGGAGATTAAGATAACATCTTGAAAGCAGCCAGAGAAAAACAATAAGGTACATACAAGGAAACAATTCAAAATACCCCTACTTCTCATCAGAAACTGTGAAAGCCAGTAGGTATTGGAATATCATTAATAGACCAAAAGAAAAATAAAACTATCAGCCAGAATTTTGTATCAAATAAAAATTTCATTCAAAAATATCCTGAGACAAAAAAAAAAAAAATATCCTGAGACATTTTTAGGTAAAAGAAAACTAAAAGCATTTGTTGACAGCAGACCTCTACTATAAAATATGTTGAGGAAAGTTCTTCAGGTTCAAGGGAAATGATACCAGAAACTTGAATCTTCAGTAAGGACCGAAGAACATCAGATCTCATGAATATTTGGTTATTTTTTGCCTCCTTATTTTCTTTAAAACATATAGGATTATTGAAAGAAAAGATTATAATATTGCCTTGTAAAGTTTATAGTAATATATTAATATATACAAACTATAGTAAAAAGGATGAAGAGAGTAAATGGACCTATACAATTTAAAGGTTTTGACATCTTGGCCGGGCGTGGTGGCTCACGCCTGTTAATCCTGGCACTCTGGGAGGCCGAGGCAGGCAGAATGCTCAAGGTCAGGAATTCGAAACAAGCCTAAGCAAGAGGGAGACCCCGTCTCTACTATAAATAGAAAGAAATTAATTGGCCAATTAATATATATAGAAAAAATTAGCTGGGCATGGTGGCGTATGCCTGTGGTCCCAGCTACTCAGGAGGCTGAGGCAGGGGAATCGCTTGAGCCCAGGAGTTTGAGGTTGCTGTGAGGTAGGCTGACGCCATGGCACTCACTCTAGCCTGGGCAACAAAGTGAGACTCTGTCTCAAAAATAAATAAATAAATAAAGCTTTCGACATCTTTATGTGAAGTAGTGCAATCTTGCTCTAAGTAGATGGTGTCAAGTTGATGATATATATTTTAATCTGTACAGGAACCACTAAAAGCCCCAAACAAGCACAAAGAGATATAGCTAAAAGCCAACAGATAAATTATAATGTAATATTTTAATAAATATTCAAATAATCCAAAAAAAGACAGGAAAAGAGAAACAGAGGAACAGAAAAAGAGGGACAAACAAAAAGGTATGAATAAAATCATAGACTTAACTTCACCCATATCCATAATTATATTAAATATCAATGGACTAAACATTCCAATTAAAAGAAATTCTCCACAGAGATAAAAAAGCAAGACTCATTCAGTCTGAAAGGTTGTGAGGAAAACAAAGAACACAAAAAGCAAGACCGAGGTATATATTGTCTATAAGAGATACACCTTAAATATAAGTTGAAAGTAAATTGACAGAAAAATATATGCTATGTAAACAGGATGCATAAGAAGACTGGAGCAGCTCTATTAATATCAGACAAAATGGACTTCAAGAAAAATAGGTATTACTAGAAATAAAGAAAGACATTTCATTTATAAATAAAAAACTATCAAGT